TTATTCATGAGAGACACAGAGAGAGAGGCAGAGACACAGGCAGAGGGAGAAGCAGGCTCCATGCAGGGAGCCCGACGTGGAACTCGATCCCAGGACCCCGGGGTCATGGCCTGAGCCAAAGGCAGATGCTCCACCGCTGAGCACCCTGACGGCCCCTGTTTCGGATTTAGTGATGTAAGTATGGGGTCTCCCTATCTGAAGGGAAAGGGTCATGTTTGTTTTTTTTTTTAAAGCATCTTTCCATAAGCTCTGCAGCGCTCCAAATCCCACTGGATGTGAGCAACGTAAATGACTTGTCTGATAACCCACTTGCCACCCGCATAAAACATCCCACAGCTTCTCTCTTCCTGCTCCTCAAGGCCCGGGTGGGTCCCCAGGAACAAGGAGCAGCCCAGGGAGGGCGTGCCACGGGGGTATTGCACACTACAGGTACCCGACAGCACCCCGGGGCCCACTGGGTGGGCTCCTCTCCCTGCCCGCCTCCCTCCATGTGTCAGACGTCGATTGGCCCCTCACCCCAGGACCTGACTCTAGCTCCCGGAATCCCCTCCTTTGCTCATCATGCCAACGCTGACGACGAGCCCACTGAGAAGGTGATTGTGCCACGAGGACCCTTTTCCCCGCATGGACCTGGAGGCTTTCATGGTTGAGAGTCTCGTGTGCAGGAACGTGTGCGCTGAAGGCCGCGACGGGGAGGCCCGGAGAGCTGCTCACAGCCTCCCCTCTCCCCTCGTCCAGGAGCCCCGAGGCTGGGAGCGTCAGGCTGGGCAGGTGGAGGTGGCCCCAGAGGGACAGGTGCACGCAGCCGGGTGGCCGGGCCCTCATACCTGCTTGTGTCAGGCCCGTAAGGCGGACAGCAAGAATCAGCGCCCCGGATCCAGGGGCCTCCGCTCTGTGCCCCGGGCCTCCAGGCTCCTGTTTCTGTCTTTAGTTTTTATGGAAGAGGGCAGGCAGGGGAGAGGCAGCAGGGGCGGGTGGGAGGGCAGGGGCGGGAAAGAAAGAGGAGAAGAGCGTCCTGCAGGAGGTCGGGACTCCATGGCAGTGCTGCAGGTAAGACACCGGATGCTCAGCTACAACTGAAATTCAGATACACAGCAAAACCATCTTAAGTGTAAGTGTGTCCCCGGCCCTGCCTGCATTCTTACTCGCTAAATCGGGCAACACCACCTTGTCATCCTGTTCTCCACACCTTTCATCAAGGTGACCCCTCCCCTTCTCACAGCTTCCAGATCGAGACTCCCACCCACCTCCCCACCGCGCCCCCACCCCCACCAAGCCTTTGGGGGACCTGCAGTCAGCTTGGCTCTCCGATGCCGTCTCACCGCACCTGGGACAAGTCAGACTCTCCTCCACCATCAGAGCCCAGCCCTGCTGGCTTTCCCCGAGTGAGGACTGCAGTGCTGCTTTGCTGGCATGGGATTGTGCAAGTCCTGCAGGCTCCCGCCTGGCAGAGTAGTTTCAATCTATGCTTCTGGAATTCTAACAGTGCATGAGTCACCCGGGGGAACCGGTTAGGGGGCAGATCTGAGTCACTAGGTCTGGGGTGGGGCCCGAGAGTCTGCATTTCCTAACATGCTCCCAGGGCCTGTCCAGTGCAGCTGGTTAGAAACGGAGATAAAATTTAGATTTGAAGCAGAACAGTGACTCGTCCCACACAGCTTCAGTGTACGTGTGGCTCCTGTTACGGGCTGAACTGTGTCCCCCACCCCTCCAAGAGGCATATGTGGAAGTCCCAGTGGACTTTTGAGGTGGACACAGAGGGAAGACCGTGTGAAGATCCGAGGAGAAGGCCATCTGCAAGCTAAGAAGAGAGGCCTCAGACGGAACCAGCCCTGCCGACACCTTGATCTTGGGCTTCCAGCCTCCAGAATGGAGAGGAAATATGTTTGTTGGTTAAGCCTGTGGAACGTTGTTACAGCCACCTTAGCAAATTCACACTTGCTCCTTAGTGGGAGCAGTGGGGCAGGGTCACCCAGTGGGACCCATAGCACCTTGAAAATAGAGGAAGAAGTAGCCCTTCAGGGAGCCAAGCAGAACAGTCATCCTTGAAAAGGTTTCACTTGCGTCCCAGAATGTAGGTCCTGGAGAAATGTGATGCTGACCTCTCAGTCAGCCGTCCCAAAGCTCATGTGATCATCACAACCCCTTAGTCCCCGGGGTGGAACACTGATCAGGGCTTTAATCCCCACAATCCAGATGAATAAACTGAGTCACACATGGGCATGCTGTCTTCAGAGGCCACCAATTATGGCAAAGAGGAAGAAAGGAAGGGAACAGGAGAAAGAAGAACTAAATTTCTCTCTAACGATTTCTACTTTTCCAAAATGAAGCTTCAATTTAGGATTAATTAAAAGAAATCATTTTCTTAGTCTGGTTTGCCCTCTCCCCTTTCTCATTGGGGCTGGGTGACATTTTGGGGGCTTTACAGATCACTGAGGCATCAGTGGGGAGGTTGAGTTGTTGCCATCTGTCCGCTGTTGTGGCCACCACTTCCCACACCCCACCAGCTCAACCACGGGCATCCTCTCCTGTTGGCATCTTGAAAACACGCATGCTTCACACCTGGGACCCAGTCATTGGTCCTCGCAGGAGCTCCACATCCCCTCACCTTGACCTCTAGGGCCCCCTGGTCACCCAGTTGCTCCTCACTTACTCCTGAGCCAGTTACCAGGGTCCATTTTGGATGCCCTCCCATGTTGTCTGAGCCCACAGGAGGCTCTGGGCCCTCCCTGCAAAGACCATGCACATTTCTATTCTGACTCCACCAGGCTGAGTGGGGGGCATCTGCTAGGCCTGCAGCCTTCCCAGGCTTCACCCAGAAAGTGAGGCATAACCTTCTCTGCTCCGGAGTCCCCAGCATATTTGGGGGTCCTCTCATCCTCTGTCCAGGGGTCTGGGCACAGGGGGTCACAGAGCAAGGCCCGTGCCCTAGACCAGCACTGCTGACCAGCTCTGGTGCCTCCTCAGGGTCTCCCTGCCACCTTGCCCTCAACCATCCATCCGGGGTGCTTAGTACCCGGTAGGGGGTGGAGCAGGGTGGGGTGAGGGTTGCTGTCGACACAGCTCATCTTCCCAAGTCATTTAGGTGTTAAATTAATGCCCTTGGCCCTTCTGAGTCTGGGCTTTGGAAAAGAAAGAAACCTTTAGACTCCTGCAACTCAAAAAGTTGTTTTGCTTTGTTTTTTTTGTTTTTTGTTTTTTGTTTTTTGTTTTTTGTTTTGTTTTTTTTTAGCCTGAAATTAGTGCCTCTCTGATAGGTTTTCAAAGTCTGTCTTGAAATCCAGATGCCAAATATCGACTCCCATTTTTGCTTTTGCTGCCCTGTTGTAGCAGCCCCACTGCAAATGCAGAGAAGAGCCTCAGAGCTGTCTGGACGGGGAAGGAAAAGGCAGAGGTAAGAAGAATCATAAGGGAAAAACAATTCCCACAACTACTAAACATTGTCACACAGCACATTAAGTGGCTCCCCAAACACTTAAACCTTTTCACTTTCCTGTGATTCCAGGGCTTCTACCCAGAAGCAGGCCCTGGCTCTCTGAGCCACCAGTCACAAGAGCCAGGAGGTGGAAGCAACCAAGTGTCCATCAACAAATGAAAGGATAAACAAAATGTGATGTCTACAGACCATGGAATATTACCAGCCTCTAACAGGAAGGAACTTTGGACGCCCACTACAACACGGAATGATCTAGAGGGCATTATGTTCAGTGAAATAAGGCAGCCAAGGCAGCCACAAAGGACAAACACTGGGTGATTCCACTTCTGTGAGGCTCCCGGAGTAGGCAAGTTCCTAGAGATAGGAAGTAGCCTGGGGGCTGTGGGGGGGGGGGGGGCTGGGGAGGAAGCAGGAGTCGGTGTTGGGTGGGTGCAGAGTCTCATTCCGCAACCCAAGAAGCGTTCTGACGGCTGCTCGATGACGTGGCTGCACTCAGTGCCACCCGAGGGTGCACCGTCATGGTAGACATAGCCCCAGGGGTAAATTTCATGTGTGTTCCACTACAATTTCAAAACGTACAAAATGAAAGAATGTTAATAAGAAAAAAAGAAAATACAGACTCCTTCCTGTTCAAGCCCAGGTCTCCTGCATCTTGCTGTTGAGGACAAAGAGCACTGGTGTTTGACGAATTCCCCAGGGGGTTTGGGGGAACCAGTTCTTATTATTAAAAATACATGAGAAAAAAATAAAAATAAAATAAATAAAAAATAAAATAAAAATGCATGTGCGAGCTAGGGTAGCAGGCAGGAGGTGAGGACAGCTCGGAGCTGGGGGCTGAGTCAGTGGAGGCAGGTGATGAGCCCCCCGCCCCCCAGGAGCCCTCCAGGAGGGCTGCTCTGCCTACGGACGGTAGAACTAAGTCAGCCCTTTGGCATTTTGACACGTGGCGCTCGACTCTGAAAATCAAGTCCCGCATCTTGAATCCATAAAGGCTTCAAAGGGGTGGAGACGTCCACCTAACTGCAGAGGAAATTCTCCAAATCACAGGGTTGCAAATCTAAGCTGTCTTCAAGGCAGCTCAATGTATTCATGTCCTGTCTGTTTTTAACTCAGACCCAGAAAAGACAAAATTGGAAAAGGAATCTTGCTGCAAACACAGCCTGGCTGCGTCTCAGGGGTGAAATACCACCAGGGCTTGGCCCCACCAACGGGCAGCTCCGGCCACTTCGCCAAACGCCAGATGCGTGAGATGCCACATGACATGTGCTTCTCTTCTGCTCCCAGCTCTGCTGTGAAAACGACCACATCCTCCCTGCGTCTTTCTTGCAAGTTGGCTGGAAACTATCATTACCCCCATGCGAGGGGGAGCTGCGCAGTGGCCTGGGCCCCCCAACTGTCACAACTGCAGAGAGTTGCAAGTAAGAGCACTTTTGTCCAAGCCTCTGACAACAAGAGGCCGAGTCTACAGGGAAAAAATCATCCCAGGCGAATGTGACCTTGAGGAACCACCCCACAGTTGAGACATCTGTCTTTGTCCCCGTGGGAAGAATTCTAACCAACACCCGGCATGAACGTGTGTGCACATTCCGTACTCCAGCCGATCCCAAACCACAGCCTAGAAGGCGCACCCTGGAGGTGGCATCGCCCTCTTTTATAGCTGAGGAGACAGAGAGGAGATTGTGCAAAAGTTGAGCCTCTGAGCACCTGCAATTTGAGGTTTTGAGCTTGAAGTCTTTTCTTCCTTTTTCAAAAATCCAATGAGCCTGTCTCCTTTCTCATAGAAATCCGCCTGGCTCAGGCGTCCAGTGGCCTTCCCACAGAGAAGTTGGGGACAAGGGAGGACACTGCACAGGTGAAGCCGGTCGTTGTGATGGGAGGGGGGGTGTCCCTGCTTGAAACAGACCGGTTGTGATGGTGGGTGTGCTCCGCGCTGAAGACTTCAGTCATAGTCTCGGTGGAGGCAAGGTCTTCTTAGAATTGGCCAATTGTGCTGGGGGGGTGGGTCCTGTTAGAGTAAGCCCATCATGACCGTAAGAGGGTCCTGGCTAGAACAGACTAATGTTGGTAACCATTGCTCTTGGACCTCTGGCTCCAGACTGGCTGATGAGAGAGGAGGGGAGGGCTGGCGAGTAGCTTCTAGGACATGATCTTGAGTCTTAAAAAAAAAAAAAAAGACTCAAGTAGCCAACAAGGTCATGTAGCACGCTGCTAGACATTTATGAGGAATGCTTATGGTGCCTGAAACTGTGGTGGCCACCCTCCAATCCTGAGGTCACCACCTTGAGAACAAAGCTGGACCATGGGAGGGCCAGTTGGAACGTGCACTCCAGGTCCTTGATGATGGCTTTGAACTGCTGTCCTGGCCACGCCCGGAAATCTCCTACCTCAGGGATTCTTGTGCGAAGCAGTAAGATGCTCCTATTGTTGCAGGTCAGGCTTGATTGGGCACATCTGACTGGAACCATTTCCACGTGAAGAGTTGGCAAAATAAATAACTAAAACGCTACCGTACTCTAACAAACAGGTGCTTTATGGAGAGGAAAGGAAAGATTGCGTGACTATCAGGATAGAACAAGAGACATGGTGGCGATTTGCCTCGAGGTAGGAGGCTTTGGGTTATGCTTTGGGTTGCTCCTGCCCCATCTACTTCTTTTGGGTGCCCAGCCTGTGCAGGACAATATGGGGTTTATAAAAAATTATTTACTTAATGGTGGTAAAATAGACATAGCATGAAATTTAAACCATTTTTAAGTGTTCTGTGCAGCGGCATTCACACTGTTGTGCAACCATCACCACCATCCACCCATGGAACTCAGCTTCCCAAACTAAAACTCTGTCCCCATTAAACATTAAGTTCCCACCCCCAGCCTCTGGTGACCATCACTCTACCTTCTGTCTCTATGGATCTGACTACTCTAGATACTTCATATAAGTGGACTCATCCGGTGATTGTTCTTTGTGACTAGCTTACGTCACTGAGCATCATACCATCTCCTCAAGGCTCATCCGTGTTGTGGCCTGTGTCAGAAGTTCCTACCTTTTTGAGGCTGGCTAGTATTCCATTGTATGTAGACATCACATTCTGTGTATCATTCATCTGTGGATGGCACCAGGGCTACTTCCACTTATGGGTATTATAAGTAATGCTGCTACGAACATGGGAGCACAAATATCTGCTCTGGTGTCTACTTCCAATCTTTGGGGGAATATACCCAGAAGTAGAATTACTGGATCACATGTAGTAATTCTACACTTAATTTTTTTCAGGAACCGCTACACCGTTTTCCAAAGGGGCCTCACCATTTCACCCTCCCACCGGCAGCGCATCAGCATTTCCTCCTTGAGAGGAAATGTATTGCAAAGCACGGGATCAAGGCAAGAAGAACATCCACTTAGGAAAAGGTGTCGTCAAAGCTTGTTCACATTTAAGAACAAAACCGTGGCCTGCATACGATTATTTTTTTAAATCTCTCTGTATAATTTCAATAAATTCTGTGGTGTGTGGGGAAATGACGTATGTGTATTACAGTTTAATTGTGGCAGAGGCAGAATTTTCTACCCAAATATGGATTTTAGGAATTTAGGTTGTAAAGGACTGGATGACACACAGCCATTTCTCACGGGTCTCAGAGCAGTCAGAGAAAGTGAGGACCAAAGGGGTGATGACATGTAGGATGGGAGGAAGGAGCCACAGGGAACCCCAAACATAGGCCAACTCAAGGCAGATTCACAAGGAACCCAAAGGAAGTAAAGTGCCCAGGAGGCCTGAGCGATGTCACTCTGTAAGTGAGGGCTGGAGACATTTTCATGGGTAGAGACCAGAAATCCCATGATTTTAGGGAATGGGGCAGGCTCTATTTCATCTGGTAATCCTGGTAGACGGGGCAGGCTCTATTTTATCCGATAATCCTGGTAGAGCCTAGAGTCACATTTTTCAAACTGCGGGTTTTGGCCCATTAGTGGCTCATGAAATTGGGTTAGTCAGTCTTGAGCAGTTTTAAATAAAGGCTGGAAAGTGGTCAAAATAGAACAGAAAATATCAGGACACATGGCACTTTGTTATGTTGTGTATAAATGTGTTTGCGTGTGTCTGCGTGTGCATACATGTGCGTACTATATTCCAATGTATGACCTCTTTCTTACAATGGCTGTGGTTCAGGAAGGTAGAAAGCTGCTGACCTGGGGGGTGGAGTGCCGCATTCTCTGAGGCTTAGGGGAGCTAAGGAAAGTTCCATTTAGTCTGAGGTCAGGGGCCACAGAGGATGAAGAAGGCTGTGGGAACGATGTAACCTCTGATCAGGATGTCGAGTGGTGCTTAGTTTAGGGCCTGGACCTTTTCCTATCTGTGTAGAAGTTCCTGTCAGAATGTTTGCACTGCTCGGGTTTGTTTACGCACGTAAGCATCTGTGAAAATAGACAACAGTAAAACCAACAAGACTGTGAGCGTGCAATGTGCCCAAACTGGAGAGTGCCTCGTTCTTCTGAGTTCACCTCAGTGAGAAATTCTGAAAGCCAACAAGAGACCCAGTTGCTTTAGTCAGGAAGGTGGAACGTGGGAAGAGGCTTGGGTGAGTCACGGCTACAGCAGGCAGGGGCCCTGGAAGCCTTCAGCGCTCCTTTCGTTGCCTACAGGTCTCTCTGGCCGGCACATTCGAATTTTCACTTCATTGAGAGCGCTAGATAGCTAGGCTTCCTTGCCTCTTGCCAGAAGAAGCCTCCCTCTGTCATGTGGTGGCAGAAAAATAACTATATTTAAGAGTCAAATGATGCAGAGCTTCAGGCATTTTCTAGGGGGGGGGGATCTCCCTTCTTCCAACTTTCAAGCAACGTTTGAGTATCTAGACTTCATCCTTTCTGTCTCATCTCTTCCTTCCAGGATGTTGTTTAGAGACACCCAGAGACATTGTGCTCAGGGGCGTTCCTGCTAAGGATGAAGAAAATCATCACAAAGAACATAGGCTTCTCAGGCAGATCTGAGATTCTGCTCAGCCTCTGCCCACCCTGTCTTCCAAGCGGGAGCCCAGCAGTGTGGACCGTCATGAGGGGCATGAGCAATGTTTTCCAAGCCTGTCTCCAGGCCTTCGTAACACGAGCCTTTGCCTTTGTGCAACCACAAACAGTACGACTGGTTTTTATCCGACCTAAGTAAAACGAAATAAAGTCTAAGTGTCAAGAATTTGCCAACCAAGATATTGTAGAACATTCAAGGTAACATCTACACCGATTGGTGACACGAGTACGTGAGTTTGACCTGCTGCCCCAGGAAACACGGACACCATGTTTTTGTAGGTCATGTTCTTCCTGAGGCCGGTCCGGCAGTGTGTCAGCAAGAAGGGGCTAGCGGAAGCTGTTAGGAGGCTTCCTCCTGAAAGCATTGAGCTGAGGAAAATCTTGTCATTGACCTTTAGTTATAGCAGCTGAACCTCCCTGTACCCTACTTCTGCCGAGAACCCTGGTCTTCAGAATAACCGGGATCTTTGACCATCCACTAAAGGTCTCTTGCCATCCCTGGGCTCTCATGGCCCATCTCTGAGAATCAGGTTCATTCCCCTGGTAGACTGCTTCTTCCGTACGGCAAGGAGCTCAGCCCCTGGTGGCACACATACCTCCTGTCACAGCTGCCAGCAGCAGCCAGTGCCAACCGAAGATCCTGGGTTGGGCCAACCTGGACCGGACACTCCTCTTGGTACAAACTAACCATCATGTAAGAAACTCATGTAGGTCATGTGACAAAGTGGCAGGACTCTCCTGAGACACACATTTTTGGACTCCAAGGGGAAGAGTTCTCAGACCACAGGGGGAGCAAGAGGATGTGGAGACACAAAATAATACATGCTCACTAAAATGTGAGCCAGGCTTTCAGCAGATGCTATTCAAAGAGGACATGGTCAGCTGAGCTCTGATGCCCAGCGAGCGCCGGCGGGCGGTGTACAGGCTAGGACATACAAAGGGGGCATGGAAGGGATGGGTTTTGAGAAGCACAGAGATGACGAGTTAAAACGTGTCTCCGTATTGTTTCTCTCCTATTTTCCCCAATGCGTACTGAGTGGGTAACCTTCGCTTCATTGCCCCGACTCCCTCCTCCTCCTCCCTCCTCCGCCCCGTCGGACAATCAAATCAATGCTGTACTTTAGCCTGATCAGCACTTTATCTGTCTAGCACTCTCTTGTGTTGACTTTCTGGTTACGTTCTGACACCAAAACTGTGATGGAGGCGGGGGTAGCCTTGTATAGATATAACCTCTGATTTTTAAATTAGGAAAGTGGGCACATGGGAGCATCCCGTGATAGAGAGAACACACACTCCACTCCAGTGTGGATGCAGCACTGTCCTTTACCAGTCAGTGCCATCCAGTTCAACACTCGACCTACCCGTTCGAGAGCTGACCTATGCCCCCTCCCCAGAATTCATATGTTGAGGTCCTAACCCCCAGGACCTCAGATGTGACTGAATTTGGAGACAGGGTCTTTTTTTTTTAATTTTTATTTATTTATGATAGTCAGAGAGAGAGAGAGAGAGAGAGAGAGACAGGCAGAGGGAGAAGCAGGCTCCATGCACCGGGAGCCCGACGTGGGATTCGATCCCGGGTCTCCAGGATCACGCCCTGGGCCAAAGGCAGGCGCCAAACCGCTGCGCCACCCAGGGATCCCAAGGAGACAGGGTCTTTAATGTGCTTTTGGTCAAATGAAGTCATGCGGTGAGCCTTAATCCAGTCTGACGGGTGTCCTTACGAGAAGAAGAGATCAGGACACAGATGAACCCACAGGGAAGACTGTGGCATCTATGAGCCTCAGAAGGAATCGACTCTGCTCACCCCTTGATCTTGCACCTCCAGACTCCAGAACTGTGAGGAAATACATTTCTGTGGTGTAGGCCACCCCGTCTGGGATACTGGTTATGGCAGTACTAACAGACTAACATGCTACCTCATACACTTATAGGGAGAATTAAAATAATCCCTGGGAAATAATCTAGCACTGGGCCCATCAAAAAAGAAAGACTAGAAGTCTACTTCTCTTTCTTTCTTTTCATTGTCCCAGTTTCCCCTTACCCTATATTCTCATCGGTTTGGCCATGAGCTAGAGGCTCAAAGTACGAGGACTGGGATCCCCAGCCGCTCATCGATGGCAAGACAGCCAAACCCGGCTCCCCTTCTCCATCTGCCACTTCCACCCCCACTGGTGTTGTATTGGCAGCATTATTCTCCACACCCCCTCTGTACATCTGCTTCTCTCAAGAGGTGTCAGATATTTCCAATGTGAATAATCCACAGAAATCTGGTTCCAGACTTTGGGAGGAACATTCCAGCTGGGAGGAAGCCCAGGGCCTCTGGCGTCCAGATTACTACAATGACACCAGCCAGGACTGGGGCTGAAGCAGGCCTGGCTGAACCTGCTGAACGGGTCAGGGCTCCCCACCTGTAAGCCAGCTTTCCCAGCTGTATGCACTTGTGCTTATTCTCCTTTTACTGTGCCTGGCTCTCCATGAAATGGACCCAAATGTTCCTCAGCCTTGAATTACCAGGACAGGGAGTTGAAAGAAGAGCTCCTATCTTCGTACTGAGGATATCACTACAGAAATCCCAGAACGCTGGGGACACCATGCAAGAGCCACCTCCGCTCCCAGGGTACGGCACTGTTGTCCCGGCCCTGTCCAGCCTTGGGGTTACAGCCTCAGTGCAGCACCCCCGGGAGTCACCAGCGGTTGGTAGGAATGAGCACAGCAGGTAAACCCCCCTTCCACCCTGTGACAGAGCCCTGAGGGGGCCGAGCACTCCACCAGCCGGGTGGCCATGGCATGCACATGCCCCTTGCTGCCGTGGCACAAGCAGCTGAGTTTACGAAGGCAGCCTCAGTTTCCCCACAGCGTAGCAGAGGATCTCTGGACGGTGTGGCCGAGATGACATTTGTCTTAGACATTCCCTGGGGGGAGGGGGGGCTGCACATTTTCCGCTCGCGGCCTGAGGCGGGTGAACATGTGAGACTGGGCAAGCTGCATGGAATTTGACCTGGAAGTGAGCGTGTGTGCTTCCGAATGGAAAATTCTCCACAGATGTCGTAGTTCCTCCAGAGATAGACATTGAAAGTGATGGTAAGGAGCTGACATATCTTAAATTTATTGCCAGCCTTGACGCAGGTATGTCACGCGCCAAGTCACAGTTTCTCAATCATGGGGGGCGGTGACCTCTCCCACACAACACACCCTTCTCCTCTGTACTCTTTTGTGGCACTGGACTCCCCTGGAAGATAGGGGGAAAGACTCCACTTTTGCATAACAAAATCCTTCCCTGGGTTAGGGGTTGGCCTGTCTCCCCGCCCCCCGCCCCCCACTACCTCAAGGAGCAGAAAAGGAAATGACCATCATCATCTCCAAAGGAGTGCAGAGACACAAACAATCTTTCCCCAAATGATGAGGCATCCCTACCTATTCCTGCCCCCACGGCAGGACCAAGACATGTGGGCACCCT